AAAGCGGAATTATAGGTCAAGGAGGTTATGGGACAGTGTACAAAGGAACTCTTAGAGATGGGAGAATTGTTGCAATCAAGAAGTCCCACATTATTGATCAAAGTCAAAATGAGCAATTCATAAATGAAGTGGTTGTTCTTTCACAAATCAACCACAGAAATGTGGTGAAGCTATTAGGTTGTTGCTTAGAGACAGAAGTTCCATTGCTAGTTTACGAATTCATTACCAATGGCACTCTTCACCATCACATCCACAATAAAAGTAAGGCTTCATCATTGACTTGGGAAATCCGCTTAAGGATAGCAACAGAAACTGCAGGAGTGCTATCATATTTGCACTCTACAGCCTCTACACCAATCATTCATAGAGATATAAAGTCTACAAACATACTCTTAGATGATAGCTACACAGCAAAAGTATCCGATTTTGGTACTTCAAGGTTGGTTCCACAAGACCAGGCTGGAATATCTACAGTTGTTCAAGGAACTATTGGATATTTGGACCCTGAATACTTGCATTCAAGCCAATTAACAGACAAAAGTGATGTTTATAGCTTTGGAGTTGTCCTCCTTGAGCTTTTGACTGGAGAAAAGGTACTTTCCTTTGACAGGACAGAGGAAGAGAGAAATCTTTCCAAGTATTTTCTTTCTGCAATGAAAGATAATTGCTTGGAAAAAATTCTTGACGATTGTGTAGTGAATGAAGCAAATATGAAGCAGCTTAATGAGGTAGCTAACCTGGCAAGGAGATGCTTGAGTTTAAAAGGAGAGGAAAGGCCTACAATGAAGGAAGTGGCTATGGAATTAGAGGGACTGAGAAGGATGACAAAGCATCCATGGGCTAACGATGCATGGGATGTAGAAGAGGTAGAGTACTTGCTTGGTGAAACGTCTGATAAATCTCGTCATGACTTTGATGTTAGTGGTAGCATGAGTGTTGTCTCCAACACCTTTCCAGATCAAGTAGGATTTGCAGCTCATAGTGGGAGATAAACAAAAGTTTCTTGGTGACTCATTGATACCCTTCTATTTATTGCCAATCACAAAACCCAGAAAAACAATGGGGGAATGGAAGAGACCACAGTCTTGCAGATAGGATTCTCTTCCTAATTTTCAATATATTGTCCTTGGTATGTACCATGTGATAGAAAAGTGAATTTTACTTGAATACTCAATAGCTAATATTTTAATTATGTTAATTGTATTGGAGCTGTGTGATGTAATTTCTCTTTTTTGTATTTCAGTAGATAGTGGTCAAAACCACAAGTTTGTACAATATAAGAAGCAAGCTCCATATATTAGTAAATGATATCAGATGAAGACATATGGTTATGTCTTCTATGTTTTCCCTCAATTTCTCCTCTGTTTTCCTCTTCTAGTGAGTTCTCTGTGCTTATCTTCTTCTGATCTCAGATGAAGACTAGTTTGCAAAACTGTGTGCCTTCTTCCAATTGACGCAGCCCCAGACTTGTATACTATAGTTAGAGACAAGTTGAAAAAATGCTCCTATACTTAACTCCAGCTAGACCTTTCCATCTGATGGAGGGAGGCTCGTATCTGTTTTAACCGCAGTTGAAGATGATGTTGTTAAAGAATTGGTGCCTTTAGAAGGGGAAGAGGAAGGAGTTGGGAGTTTCTTAGGCAGCATCTTTTCCCAGTTAGGCAATCTTGATGCTTCTGAGACAACAACGAGAACAAGAACAGTCATCAAGAGCAGGCACTTGTGCCTCCAAGAACCTAACATGTGGAATGCCAATGGTCAGCAGATGCCCGTAAATTAAAATATTATTCTCTTGTTTAACTTTACTAGATCTACTTTTTAATTTAAAATATTTAAATTTAATTGTTAATTTTTTAAAGACATTATTTAATGTATTTATTTTATTTAAAAAATAATTATAATATAAATTAAATAAAAAATTTTATTTAAATAATGATTAATTAAATATAAATATAAAATTTAA